AATCTAGACAATACAACATCACTTGAGTGAGTGAGTGACATTTAACCTGACCAGGACCGCACAATGAGCGACCAACACCAAGTTGCCTAAAGTGGCACCATTTGAATGAGGATCACCCAGGCACAAGTCCTAGAAACATTAGGTTATATTAGGGCCCCAGATAACAGCTAGGGTAGATCTGAATAGTCTGTAGGATATGCAGTCACAAGCATGGAATTTCTGGTTAGTGGAAGGGGTGCCGCCAAGCTTACGGACTCCTTCAGGATTCTTTTTTCCCCCAAGCAATCTGGCAATGCTAAGGTGACTGTTTGCTTCCTGCAATAAAATAATTTATTTCTACGGATTTTATACTTAAAAATAAAAAGAATCATTACCAGAGCTATGGCGTGCATTCTCTGTGTTTGATGTAATAGAAAAGACATTCAGTAAGATAAATATAACCACTCTCATATTATATTAAAGGAAAACCCATGGGAAAAAAGATTAAAAAAATTACTGTTAATTAAAGCTCAAATCATATAACACGATTTTTAAGATTATATTAATTATAAGGTGAGTTAATACAATTCAGCTGACTAAAACAGCTTAGATTCAAGAATTTTATTTAATTTTCTTTTACTATCATCTACAACACAGTGGCTTATAAACAGTAGAAATGAAAAGCGTGGTTTTTGGATTCACCAACACAAAGATCGACATAGAATATTACCCCTTTCAACCCATAGAGCTAAAGTATTAGTTCTGACATCTGTTAACAGATCCCAGGAAGACCACTATTTCAGTTTCATCAGTCATGGTTGTGTTTTTTTTTTCAAGTTTTATGATTTAAGTGTTATGTTTTGTCAATCACACAAATGTGGCACAGTGATTTCCAGATTTCTGCTGTGATATGTGTACAAATAATAGCTCATTTGAGCATAAACCGAGCTGGCAGGGTATCTTGCAGCTGGTGGCCACCAGAGATGCAGTGCCCAGAAATCCTTTGGCTCTCATCATCCCACAGCCTTAACTTTGCCTTTAACCGTGGCATGGGTGAAAATATCTATCACAACTCATTTGGAACATTAGTGAAGATCGCTATCCGAATATACTACTAAATGACAACCCGTGTTAAAACATCTCTCAAGTGAAAGAACTACTGAGCTGATGAGGCTCAGCCCTAGACCAAGAGATTTGCTCACAGCCTAGACAAGCAGCATCTCCTATGGGCAATATCTCGAAGTACAGTCCTGTCTCTATACATCCTTTTTCAACCCTAAACGTCGTCATCACCACGTCGAGGCACACCATGACAATTTGCTAATGTCAGTAAGCTGATTGGGTCCAAATTTTCATCAGAAACATGTGCTATGGCATAACAGCATGGTCTTAAGTGTCTGAATGTCAGAAGTTCTACTGTCTAGAGCTTTAATGTCCATTACCATTAGTCCCCCGCTTGCCAGAGTGCCTGGACCAATTAAGGGAAGCCATACCTGTTGTATGCTTGTTTTCAAACCATTGTGTTAGGTGTCCAGATGAAACAACATTAAAGGTGTCTTAACACGCTGAAAAGAATGTACTTTTTTGAGTGGTCATCAAAGTCCTGAATCTTCGAGATACTTCCTGCTGATATCCAGATCATGTGCAGGACATGATGATTCCTTGTGTGAGTCAAGGATCAGAGTGTCGTTTGTCGACTCTGCATTTATGGAAGCCTCCTTGGATGGCGGGGAATGCCTTCCCTTCAGGGCTGACCAGTCTACACGCAGTTGCCATGGACAGGTTCTCCAGGGCCAACACCTGTAGATAAGAGGGCAAAGAGAACATCAAACAAATAAGGCGATGTTATGTCCCATAAAATAATCCAGGAAGTTAACCCAGTCAACAAATGCTCCATGAAAGCAGATGTATCGACTGAAAAACACAAATATGGCAGCAATTACCTCACTTGGACTAACATAAAGAAGGGAAATCACAAGAACATATGTGGCAGGGTTGTTGAGGTGTTCTGTCCACAAATTAAAGCTAATTACACAAACACACTAGGTGGTTGTAACAGATATGACCAACTGGTAAAACAAGATGGTAAGTTCTGAAATGACTTTCAAACTAAAATGGAATACTGGAAATAAATAGCTGCTAGTGACACAATTTAACTAACTTTATTATAGACTTCATTTGATAGTTACATTTAAGTGCTAGAATGATCTAAAACTGACTGGGAATCAAGGGTTTGGAGGCGAATTATTTCATACAAAAACTCAGGGAATGTTATTACAACTTGTCTAGAAAGACCTGAAATTCTATTGTAATCATACAACTGCGGGGATTTTGTAAACATCAAGTCAGGAGCAATAGGGTTAAAGACACTATGAGCATGACAATGTACAAAGCAGGGGGACTAGCAAAGAACCTGATATTTTCAGAGGGCTGTAATAACAGTAGAACTCTGTAAAGAACTTTATATGTGATGATGATAATTTCTAATTGAACCATAAAAGAATAATAAATTATTTAAAGCAATACAACATGCTTCTAGAAAGCGGATCATGTTCTCCCTTGTGAGATCAAGATTTAATAAAAACTGACTATACCTAAAACCTCCAAATGGCGGCAACCAATTTTAAAGCTAAGCATAGGAAAGAAACAATTCTACTTCGTTTTAAAACGGACAGTTTAAGGCCAGTTAAGAAAAGCAGCATATTTATTACCATAAAAATTAACTCTTAACTCCCCAGTGGCGCACTAGGCATAATCTTTGAACAGCATAATTAACACTCAATGCCGATGACATCAAATTGATCCCCTTTACTTCTCAGGAATTTCATGGTACCATTTTAGGCTGGAAATTGTGTAATATGATCTGTTTTGTGTTTTACATATGTAATGGAGCAATCACTCAAGTTTTTTAAACGAAAATCACTTCAGTTGCATGTAAACATACAAAATCACACAAGACAGGAAATGCAAACAATACCATCTGGTAAGATATTCATAATAAAGTCACAGTTGTGTGAATAAATGAAATGCTATATAGTTACTTTGGAACAATATCAGTAAAATGTCCCAGTTTTACCACATAATATTTAAAATCATTAATGTTACGTCCCTCCTCTGCTGAGATTGAATCAAAAGTTACTCCTTTACTGACCAATTCTCGGGTAACATTAAAGAGATAGTTTGTGTCTGGGTAGCCATATCTGCAGAAAGAAAAATGTTGAAATAAAAGGTGCAGTAAATAACTGTATGTGATTTTGACAGTATTTAACATGAACATTGTTAAATGCCTGAAATCACAAGGAGCTTTATCAGTGTAACAATGATTTCTTCTATCTATTGGTCTGCTGATTAATATCTACCTTCCAACCAACCAACCAAAGAAATCTAACATCTTCGTCTGCCCAGTTCCTATCTGTCAGACTGTTTAAAATTAAATAATTTTAATTTGTCCATTACGTAACATGTCATTCTTGATCTGTTAATAGTGAATTTTTACACTGACATCTTAAAGTGGGTATTCTTTTTCCTATTCATTTATATTTACATGTCAACCTGAGACTGTTAACATTTTCCGAGTATTTGTTCTCAAATGGAGCAATTGTACATCTTTCTGTTCTACAGGAATGAAATTTTTTCCAACTAGTGTTTAGCCATCATTCTAGCATAGTTACATTCATAAATATTTTCTATCATGAGCTTACTGAGTCTAAAGAAAGATATTTATTCACTTCCATCAAGTTTATAACGTGAACTCTGGTGTCCTGGATGCTCTGATTCCCACTTGTTTTTATAAATGTTTCTTAAAAACATCTTTGCCATATCATCTATCTATCGGTATCCTTTTCATATCACTGTTGACACACAAGGCATTTATAAGTGATCTTCATAGCTGCCAGTCTGCTGCTTTTCTTCCTTTTGGTTTCCCATCATTTTATATTCCTTTTTTCCCTTTCTGCTGTTCTTCTCCAGTTTTATTAAGTCCCCCACGTCTCCTTTTCGCATCTGCCTTCCATCAGAGAGGTGTCCTTGCAAAAGCTTTAAGAGGCTTTCTGCAAGCATGTCCAAGCCATCTCCATCTTCTTTTTTTTATTACCTCTGCCAGTGAAGAATATTTTGTCTTCTTCATCAACTGTTCATTTGTCATCTTGTTTGGCCAAATATTTGCTTGATTTTCCTGAGTATTTATTTTTAAAAGTCATTTCATAAAACTCACTGTTGTATAAATACTATTCCTAAAATACAGGGTTTCTGTGATTTGAGTTTTATTTCAAACTAAGTCTCTTTGACTTCCAATGATTGTTAGTTAAGAGTACCAAATGCTTGTCTATTATTTTCTGAATTTTTTTTTTTTTTTTTTTTTTTCAAAATTCCTATCTGAAGTAACTTTACTTCTGAGGAATATAAATAATTCAACTTCTTCTATTGCTTCACCATTTAAGATCACTGAATTCTCCTTTGTATTATTATTTTTCATTACTTTAGTTTTACTGGTATTTATCTTTCAATCATTTCTTGAGCATCCACATAGCAGCTCGAAATAATACTGATGTCATCTGCATGGTCCCGATCTCTCTAAGGATACTTTTCGGACTCTTGTGAACTCGAGGTATCTATGATGTCTTGAATGCCTTGCTGCAAACAGTGGTCATACCCTATTTTGAAATGTCTAGCTGTCCAATATTTATTGTGTGATTTCTGAAAAAGTAAGTGGCCCGCTTCAGTTTTGTTGTGTCTGAATGCATGTTTCCATTTGTTTATGTGACATGTCAATCTGGTATTCAATCAGTGCTATATGTACTGATATTATTTATTTTTATATCAGATTTTTTAAATGGTTTCAATCATGGTTTTTGTAGGTGGCCCTTGACTTTTGATGAGTAGTATATTTTAGTTAAAGAGCAGAATAGAAATGAACTGGAAATGCCAACCATAGGCATGTAGCTGAAGAAAACAAAAAAGAATTAGCATTCCTTTATAAGATAATTTTATTTTTTCTAAAGTCTTAAAGATTAATTACTCACGGTCCACTATGAAGATTTGTTTTGTGATGAATATCATTCCAAACAATGGAGTTTTCTCTGTCTGTTGTTAAAGAGTGGCCAATGGTGAAAGTTAGCTTTCTAAGAAATGCAAGCCGCAGAAGTGTCAACACAAGTAAGCCATGATCAGTAGCAGGTAAGAAAGCTGTACGACTCCCTCCTTTGTAATATTCTCCGGGATTTGGGTGACAGTCCTAATGGATAAAAAAAAAAATACAAAATGATTTGACACCCTAAGTGACTTAGGATAAATTGCAATCCATTTAGGTGCTGTTTATTTCTATTGAACATAGACATTTGTCAAACGTCAGGAAGTAAACAAATTAGCAATTTGTTAATTGAAAATGTAGATTTATGTATTGTAATTATACCAAAAATGATGAAAGACTGCTTTCACTATATAATCGACATAATGTTTAAAAAAAAATAAGAAAGGTCACTTTTTACGTATGTAGAGTATAGCATATCATGTTATGACTATTTTTTTAAACACTAATGGACATTTCCCTAGATGATGTGGTCAGCTAAAGAGAAGACTAAAGCAGTTTTTAATATTACAGAATCACTACATTGCAGATTAGACAGGAAAGCAAACCAATTCCAGAGGTGAGCAAAATGCTAATTCTGGATAAAAACATGATAATGAGGCTAATATATCCTTGCACTGGGACCTAAGGGCAAAATAAATAGGAGACATAAACATTGATGGAAAAGATAATTAAAGACAGATAAATAAATAATATGGGAACAATACAGAAGGCGCTGCTTAAAATAGCAAAAGACAGGAAGACTGCAAGAATTGGTTGAGGGTCTGTACTCCATTGGGAGATAGAAGAAAAAATTAAAACAAAAATTTGGAGTGGGGTGATGGTGATTAAACTGATAAAGGTGATGAAGTGGGTGGTTTTGGGCTCAATACCAGCACATGTATCAGTTCTGCAGTTATGGAAGTCTCCTTGATTGGCAAGGAATGCATATGTCCTACCCTTTTCTTTCTGTGAGAGCTAAATGCCATGAAAGCAATATTCTTTAAGAGTCTGATGGAATCCACCATCTACAGATTAAATGATGGAGATGATAGCTGCAGCAGTTGAATGTTCTAAAGGAACTACCTGGAGAAGCTAAAACAGTTAACACAGTCTCAGCTTCACACACTTCTCCTACTTGATGAGGAGAGTGACACCATCCCATGGACTATAAACAGCATGCCATAGTTTTAAAACATTGCTTGGATTGCAAAGTCAATCCAGCAAATTATCTGCACCAGAAAATGTTACAGGAGTAAAGATGATATGATCTCCTTCAAGTTCACAGGCTGTAAACTCCGGTGGAAAGTTCTGGTTGTTCATCCACCTCTAAACTCTAGACTTGTTCCAGAACCTGAGTGTTGCATGCACATCCATTTTACAAATCTGGCTTTGTATGCAGACTGCTGGTTCCTTCCCTCTCAGGCAGATGCACTCCGACTTCAAAGGATATGATTTTAAATACACTACCCAATAAGTGCCAGTTGGCTTAAAAAATATGGGGCTGCCACATTATACTCAGTGAATTTAATTTGAAATGAGGCTGCTTGCCTATCAGTACAAAAACACTAAGTCATCAGTACTCCCTACATTTTTCATGTTGATTGAAAATCATTTGAGGGGGTAATTATGTGTGTTCACAGCCTTTGATCTATAATTGTTCAAATTCCAAAGAAAGGTAATCTTACTGACTAACAATTGGAGAGGAATTATTCTGTAATGTTAGTCTTTTTGTAAAATACATTCTCAACAGAATTAAAGGGGTAAAGGGCAAAATCCTGAGAGTGGAAGAATTAGGTTTTCAACCTGGAAGATGCTGCTTAAATCAAATATTCACACAGATACTTATTTTTGAGAAATTTGTTGGAAAACAACAATTCCATATTTTGAATCTCATATACATTAAGAATGCTTTTGATAACCATAACATAAGTATAGGAAATTGTGAAATGCTATGGTATTCCAATGAAAATAATAATTATTATTAAGGCAATGTTTGAAGGTTCAGAGAGTGCAGTGTGAACAGATGATGGTTTTAAATAACTGGTTTAAAGTTGATCATCATCATCAAGTGCCTTGCCAACTGGCCAAGGCGTTTATGCATCCTCACAGATCTCGGACTGGTGTTCTGGATCAATTTCACTGATGGTATTCCTTCATGCCACTATCTTAAGCCATCCACCCTTGTTGGTCTGCCTCTGCATCTTCTACCAGTGATCTTTCCAGTCATCATAATATTTTCCGGTACTCCTTTTCTCGTCACATGACCGAATACCTTTGTTGTTCTCCTTCTTATTGTTGTAAATAATGTTCTACTTTCATTTGGCATTTCCAGGCAATTATTGTTAGTCATTCTGGCAGTCCAAGGTATTCACAACATTCTTCTCAAGAACCACATCTCAGTTGCCTCCAAACTCTTCATAATTTGTTTGCTCACATTCCAAGATTCACAGTCATACAACAGAACAGGCTCGATGTAACATTTCAGTGCTCATTGTCTGATGTTTAATGGAAGTGATTTAGTACATAAGATACTTTTCCTCATTTCCTGGCCAATTCTGCTCTTAATTTTTGTCACACAGTCCATCAGATGTTATGAATGTCCCCAAATACTTGAATTTATTGACATGGTTAATCACTTTCCCTTCAGCTATGTCACTTTTTGAAGTTATTTTCTTGACATTCAAGGAGTCTCATTTTTTGCACTCTCTAGTACCACAATGTCTATAATTGTTGTAGGTCTTCTGTGTTATCAGCCTAGCGAAGATTGTTTATGTTATAACCCCCAACTAGAATTCCTTGTCTATCCTTGACCTCCCTCATTATTATTTCACTACAGAGAGAGAAGAGATCCAGCTGTGTCTCACTCCCTGCTTTATCTGTTTATAACTGCCTACTTTATTTCCTAATTTAATTGCTGCTTTTTGCTTCCAGTAATTTTTTTTTGTATTATTATTCCAAGATCTTTTTCATCAATGTTATTATCCTCCAACAAAGAGGTGTGGCTACACAGCTACTTACTACCGCTGCCAAAACCAAACGAAGATCACTCCAAGATCAGCGGCTACAGAATTATTACGCTGCAGAACACTCTGGGCAAACTTCTGGAGAAAATAGTAGCGCATAGACTCAGTGATGACTTGGAAAGGACTGGCAGGCTACCATCCACACTTGCAGGGCACAGGTGCAATAAAGAGACATGGCTGAATGGGGCAGTTTTTACCCATGATGTCTATGAAGGTTTTTAGGCAAAAAGAGGAGACATGTGCAGCTGCACTAGATTTAGAAGATGCACACAACAGAGTGCCCTTTGACTACCTGGTGTAGATCCTCCTCCAACTGAAAATATCTTCATCATTCGCTGGCTAGCTGTGACACTGTTCCAGAGATGGGTGATACTCAGGTGTGGTTGTTGGTCCTCAGACCCGATAACAATTTGTCCCAGATTACCTCAAGGTTCTCCACTGTCTCTGCTCTTTAATGTGTATACGTTGTGAAAACCCGACCAGCAATTGAATGCGTGTGGCAGGACTGTGTCATTTGCTAATGACATTTTGGTCTATCGACATGGAAGAAAGCATCATGAGATTGCCAGTGCAATGCAGAGCGAACTTAATCGCATTTCTTCCTGGTGTGAGGACTCCAGAGCACATGTCAACCCTTCAAAAGCCTCAGTAACGTCAGTAACGTGGTTCTCCTTGAACATGCATATGGTTAAGGCAGACCTACCAGTGAGGGAAACTGGTGGCGAAGCTTTGACGAGAACACACCCGATGACAAATCTGGGTGTGAAGTCTGATCGCAGTCTGTCATTCAAAGACCACTTCAACCACGTAGTAATTAAAGTCTGTAAAGGCTTATCAGCAGTCAGGGTCCTAGCCACTGCCAACATTGAGCGGAGACTGCTTCTGGTAATCTTCCAGGCACTGCTTCTTTCTCCAATTGAATATGCTTTAGCCATACTCACCGTCAGCGATACTGAGTTTGAAAGACTGGAGAAGGTGCAAAATAAAGCCATTCATATTATTCTGGGTGCACAAAAGACACCTCTTGTGTAGCAATGAGATTACTTTTTGACTTTCTGACAATGTATCACAGGATGAAGATCTGGAGGACGCATGCATTCCTGAAGATAAGCTCAGATTTGAAGCACCCTTTGCACAATGTTCTCTTTAGGAAAAAGGACAACAGGCTAAAAAGGGGCAAACATGGCTTGGTAGGGCAGAGGATTATACCATACAGGTCTGCAGTCTTAGAGACGTCACTCTCGGCGAAGAGCGGATACTTGTGCCAAAAGTGCTCAACTGCTCCTTTTCATGTGTTGTCACGCTTGATAGGATCTGTCGGGAGCAGAATCCAGTTGCTGTCAATGGAGAGGTCCACGCGCCTATATGTGAAATTTCAGATGAGGCGGATGTACTGATCTACACAGATGGGTCCATTGTACAAGGACCAGGACAATCCAGGAGGCCAGGGGTGCCTTCTATATGACTACTAGCAGCATGACAATGGAGGTGATGGCAGTAACAGGAGCTTTCATGTGGCTAGCATCGCAGGGCTTGTCTCACCTGCTGTGCTGAGTGATTCCATGAGCATGATCCACCAGGCTTATGAGGGCGGTGTACGCAGACAGTGGATCAAGGCATTGCAAAACTCCAGTGTGCGTGGGTTACCTTGATCTTTGTACCGGGGAATGCAGGTGTTGCTGGCAATGAAAGAGCCGACAGATAAGCTGGCTCTGCCTTAGCTACAGAGGGCCAGCCCTTGGATGATGCCGACATTGTTAATGCCATTAGAGAGGTATGACGTTCAGAGGATTTTGGGAGCAGCACATCCACATCTTTGCTAAGAATTTGCTAAGTGCAAGAACTGGGAGTAAAGATCAGCACAGCCAGGCAAGAGAAGCACATTGGGAGCATGAGAAGTCTTGACAACTAACACAGGACTGGGACTATCAACCATGGGACGCCAATGTATATGTTGAAGGGGGAATGTGAGTACCTATGGACGCGTCTGTAGTGCCATGAAGATAACCCAAATCATTACTCATAACTCATCCTCCAATAATTGTATCATGTCACCATGTTTCACTTTATAAAAAGCTTTCCTCTAATCTATGAAGCACAAAAATGTCTTTCTGTTTCTCCACTGATCTCTGTACTAATGTTCGCAATGTGTATATTGCATTATTTGTACATTTCCCTTCTACAAAACCATACTGCTTTTCTTTAACCGTTATCTATACTGTTCCTCACTTATTTCCATTTTTATTTTCTATCTTGTTCTTCTCATTAGAATTCTGAGTAACAGTTTGGTGATATGGTTTATCAGGTTGATTGTACGAAATTCATCACATTCAATTGCCCTAGGTCTTTTAGGTAGGATAGAAATACAGATTTTAACAGAACTGGTAGTCTGGTAGTCTTAGTTTCAGCTTCATAGCAAATGGGTCACCCCATCTTTGCTCCGCTCCTGTGCCAACGAAAAACACACAGAATGTTTATCACAGTATTAGAATTGCAGTTCATCATTGATGGTAGCAGAAGTCGCCAAAAGATCAGCAGTTGTCCACGCGATCAATTTTAATCACATACGGGCACCACAACACTGCACGACAGGCATCGCACCATTTTCTGAATCTACAATTCACACCAACACGTTGGTCACAGTCGAAAAAACATTCCAAATGCAATCCGCAGCTCACAGGGTCATGCCAGGCATTCAACTCAGAAGCTGGGCGACGAAACTATATCCAGTCTACAAATGGAGCAAAAATGCATCGGCCACCGCCCGGCAGAAGCAAAAAATGTGCCATTGTTTCGAACAGTGCCACTGCCTAACGTCAATTTTGACCAGAAGATCATTAGGTATATCTCCACTGTTGTAACTGAAGTGGATACTGAGGTGAAACAGGGATGCATTTTCTCTCCCGTTGTTTGACATAACCAGAGACTGGGTGGTGACAAATTATTGTGTTGGAAATATGGAAACTGGCTGGGTGGAAAACACACAGTCTAAAGATCCAAATTTTGCTTATGATATTGTTCTGCTTAGTAAAAAAAAAACAACAATGAGATGCAAAGAAAGCACTTAAATTAGCAAATATAGAATAAATGGTTGCACTACAAATGGGTGCAGGTCGCAACTAAAACACACCAATATTGAATAGTGCAAATAGGACGTAAGGAAGTTGTTACATGTTGTTGTTAGGAGATCATGCTCCAAGGATTCACAGCCAAGAAGTCAAAGAAGGCAGACATTTTGTCCAAGTGTGGTTCATTGCAAAGATCAGCTTAGAAACTGGGACGTGAAGCGTCATATATATGAGCTGTGATACCCAAGAGACTGCAAGAGAACTGGAATCAGTATTCCTGCTGTACTTTGGAAGTGTCGACCTTTCTGGCTCATCAGTATTTTCGGCTGCATATTTGAAGTGGGTAAAAAACCATTAATGCTATCCAAGGTCAAGGCGATAACGTATAGAAATGCCTTGAAGCCAAAATAGCTGTGATTAGATATCTAGTCTAATCTTCATCGAGTGTGAGAACATTAGAAGTGATTAGCGTTATACTGCATGTTGGTGAGTTCTTTGGACTTATTCATTTTTGCTTGCATTATCTGCATTGAAATTGTAATACACTGCTGGTACAGTCACTCCCTGGTGTTGTGCAGTTGGACGTGTTTATGCATTTTGGAATTGGATTGTTACTGTCGCCATTGTCCAGTTGTAGTCAGATTTCTGGATTGTTGTCACCTTTAGTTTGACTGAGAAATGTTTGATTGTTCAAATCACACTGACCTCAGTGTTCAGGCTGTCTTGAGTTGAATTTTGTTGGGACAAACACTACCCCTATCAAGTATCAGTGGGAGCCCTCACAATCCTACCCCTAGGCACACAACAGTTATGAAAAGTCAAATATACTGAAGAAACAAAAAACAGATCGATGAGGTGAAGCATTAGAGACAAACGTATTTAAAGCAATAGATACACTGACTTATTTAGTAGTAATTTTGATAGTGAAGGAAACATAAAGAAAGACATAATGATAAGCACTGGTAAGATCTCAGCAGCTTCTAATAGGCTGAACAAAATATGGAACTCTAAACTGTATAGTTTCAAAACCAAATAGTATAATGGTAAAAATAATATAAATAGAGAATAAATATCTGGATATAATACTTAAGGTTCTGACTCACCTTTTGAATTCCAGGAGGAAAGAAATATTTAATTCTCCAAGTAGGGAAAGGTTCATACCCAGCGGCAGAGTCTTGTATTTCTTGAACTGACATAGTACCTGGTGGCTGATCTCCAGTTAAAACTCTCCAAAATGTACGGCAGTAAGGACAGATTGTAACTTTCTGTTGGCATCCTTGGCACATATATTTACCACAACATTTCAGAGGATAACAGGGCTTTTCACAAGCACATATTTCACATGTTGTTGTGCCCAAATCAACAGAGCTACCAGCATCTAGGTTAAAAAAAAAAGGAGGTTTCACTAACTAAATAAGATTACTAAACATTAATCATCACATAGGGCCTTGCATTATGTTTTCCCATCAATTCTATCTTGGGCAATCTATTTTTAAAATTATCACAGATGAATCAAAGCAGCAACTTTGGCCTCTCCCATTAACATTCCTCATTGTTCATTTTTGAAATCATCTTTATCGCACATGACCATAAGTGCTCCAATTCCGATCTCTTCCTGAGTATGTCTCCAAGTGTTTTTAGGCTAAGAACTTCCATTCTGTTCTATCTGATGTAGCAATGGGTGGCTCCCGCATGTTTTCCTGTCTCGTGTCTCCAGTTAGTACACCCAGGCTATGCAGTCTTTTCAGTGAAAAATCATTTTCCACGAAACTGAAATCCTCACAGGGTTCAGTCCCTCGCATGTCACTGATGATGTCAACTCTGGCCATAGAGGGCCCAGTTTTGATAGTTACACTGCCAGCCAGAACATCTGCTCTCTAATTGCCTTTTACACGAGCATACCCTGGGACGAAAATGAAGGTGATTTTTGCAAAAGCCTCTCAAAGTCCAACCCCACGTCCTCGTCATGAGAGGTGGTAACAGAACAAATTAGGGGATTGCTAGGTGTGGGCGAAGTATGGTGTGGCCTCGTGCCACAGGACCACTATGGTAGCCATGAAGGCCACCCTGGGTCACCCCGAAAAGTCCTGGTTAACGGGGCTCTGGTGAAGTTGCGACAGGCCTAGCAAACCGGCAATGGATTTATTATCGCTACAGAAAACACAATGAAATATAAACGGACTGATCACACGGTATCTGACCATGGCTATGTTAAGGGACTACGAGACAAAAAAGTGAAATACAAGATTGCAACACTTAACATGGCTGGCCTAGGAAACAAAACAGAAGAGATTATTGAAATGATGGAAAAAAGGAAAATCAAGTTAATGGGGCTAGCTGACATAAGACGCAAGGGAAATAGTAACAAGAAAATACACAGAGGCTACTTACTAACATATGCAGGAGAAGGAACATCGAAGAATGGAGTGGGTTTCCTGGTGCATCCATACATATCTAACTACATATTAGACATACATTATCACTCAGATAGAATTATTACTTTGAAAATTAAAAGAGAACAAGCTGAAACATATATACAGTTATATGCACCATGAAATGATAATTATACAGAAGAGCAGAAAGATTAATTCTTTGATGATCTGTCTGATGAGATAGAGAAAGTTGAGGGAAGCAGCATACTATATGTAATGGGGGACTTCAACGGGAGGGTAGGAAATAACAGAAGAGAATACGAACAGTTTCTAGGTCCACATGCAGCTAAGAACAATGATAGAAATGGAAATGGTCAAAAAATATTGGATCTATGCAGCCAGCACAATCTTTTTATTACGAACACATTCTTTGACCGTAGAGATTCACAGCTTTACACTTGGTACAAATGGAATGATATCTCCATCAAGAGCCAGATTGACTTTATACTTACCAGAGTTCAAGGAAGAAGGAGAATTCTTGATTCAAGAGCAATCCCTAATGGCTATGTGACACTAACCATAAAATAGTTGTGTTAACAGCAAAACATCTTACATTAAAGAAACACAGAAAGAAATTAACCAAAAACAAGGATCTCATCAAGATAGCAAATCTGAAACAGGAAGGAGTAAAAGAACAGTTACAACAGAAAGTAGAGACAGCATTCAAACAACTTCCACATGTAATTGGCAATATTGAGGAAGAATGGAGTAAATATAAAAACACTATGCTTAGTATCGCAGAAGAATTATGTGGAAAACGGAAGAGTGGAAACAGACGGGGAAATAACAAATATTCACCTTGGTGGTGCGAAGAAGTAAAAGACGCAATTAAAAAGAAAAAGGACTTATATAAACAGTAGATAAAATCAAAGAAAGAAGAAGATTATATAAACTATAGACTGCAAAGGAGAGAAACCAACAGGAGTGTCAAGAAAGCAAAACAAGCATCCTGCGAACGTTTCGGTGAGTCATTAGCAGAAAATGAGCAAACAGCCAGCAGACAATTTTTCAAAGTAGTTAAAAATATGCGGAAAAGAGATGAGAGCTACAACCCCACTGAAATAATTAATGATAAGACAGGAAGGCCATTGATAGATCCACCCGAGATAGCAGAAAGATGGAGGGAATACTTCAATGAGCTCTTTAATCCTCTAGGAGATCATCAGGAAAGAACAACTGAAGAGCACAGAACAACTGAAGAGCACAGAACAACAGTGTTAGAACCACACATACTAATGGATGAAATAGAAAAAGTCATTAAACAGTCTCCCAAATATAAAGCACCAGGAGCTGATAGATTACCAACAGAAATAATTCAAACAGCAGGTGAAAGCACCATCAGATGGCTTCACAGAATATTTAATGCAGCATGGGTACAACAAACTGCCCCTATTGATTGGCAACATGCAATAGTTATACCATTGTGGAAGAACAAAGGAAGCAAACGAAATGCTGTCAATACCGAGGCATCTCTCTTTTAAGCCATGTTGGCAAAATGTATGCCAAGATAATAGAAACAAGACTAAGACCAGTGATAGAACCACAGCTGGCAGAAGAACAGATGGAATTTAGGAGAAATAGAAGCTGCACAGATGCAATCTTCACACTTAAACAGTTAATATAAAAGAACATTGAATACAATAAGATCTTATTTGTGGCATTCGTAGACCAGGAGTAGGCATTTGACAGAGTCGACAGACAATTATTATGGAAAGTAATGGCAAGATATGGAGTAAGCGAACACCTCACCGAAGTGTGCAAAAGTTTATACAGGGATTGTAGAAGTGTAGTTAGAATAAATCAGGGAACATCTCATCCATTCACAGTAACATCTGGAGTAAGACAGGGGTATGTTTTATCACCACTGCTGTTTATCACATACATCGACAGTATATGCAAGAATGCCAAGCCCATGAATGAAAATATTAGTAAGATCAACGAATTACTCTTTGCAGATGACCAGGCCTTGATAGCAGATACAGACATGAAATTGCAACAACATCTAACATCCATGAATGAAGAATGTAAAACAAATAATATGAGAATCAACACTGAAAAGGCAGAAGTAATGTCAATAGGAAAAAAGAAGACAGATCTAAACATAGCAATAGGGTGCAAAGGCATTAAACAGGCATCTGAGTTTAAATATCTGGGAACTACATTTACCGAAGATGGGAAATTGGATAAAGAAATTAACATTAGATGCAGTAAAGCAAACCAAGTATTGGGACAGCTAGCTCCCCTCTTACAGCATAAGACAATCCCAATCAGCACAAATAGACATTTTATTCAAAGCATATTTATTCCAACTCTGTGCTACCAGTGCCAGACATGGTCACTCACAACAAACCATACAAGAAAATTAGTAACCATGGAAATGAGATGTCTGAGAATGGCTGTAGGAGTGACCATAAGAGATAAGATCAGGAATGAGATCATAAGAGAAAAAGTCGACACAGAACCAAATCTAAATTACATACAAAGACAGCAAGTGAAATGGTTTGCCCACTTAGAGAGAATGCCTTGTGACACCATACCATACAAACCATACAAAGCATACATGGAAATAGAAGAAGGACGTAGAGCATGAGGTAGACCAAGAACAAGATGGAAAGATAACATCAGAGAAACTCTACAACAGCACAATGTGCCTATGGTTGAGGCGGCCAGAAGAGCTAGAAACAGAACCTTATATCTCCCTTGACACCCACAGAGGTAAAAGAGGAAGTGAAGAAGAAGAAGAAAATTTTGCAAAACGCTGAGTGCTGTATCAGCCACTGTTTCCGTGGCTTGATCTTCTGTAGCATGCTTATTGAGTTGCTGAGAAAGTATACATTAGGGAATGAATGTGTGTAAGTATGAATGCACATATGCATGCTAAATTATATTACTCACCCCCCCCCCCCCTCTCCAAATTTGGTTATGGCACACAAGTAGCTCATGTATGCTTTTTTGAAGGGAGTCAGCAATCCAGAATCCAAGTTCAAGGTGTTTCCTTCATGCCAAAATACTGCGATGGTTGTTGGATGAACAGTCGTTAAGAAAGCAGTCAGGCTGCTGGAGGACTGACGCTTAGCTGATGGATTTAATGTCCCTGGCACATTGGCAATACTGTGGTGTCTGTTTATTAACCCACATTAAAATTACATTAGACTATGGAATAAAATGTTTCACAGAATCTCCACAGGAGATCGTGCTCTGACATTGATACTTGCAGCAAATATTGGTAGGAGTAGGAGAGGGAGAGGGGGAATGAGGCAAAGAAAGAAAAGAGCTAGTAAGAGGAAGACTAGAAGAAAACTAAGAGATTATCACTTATGAGCGTTGGATACCGGAACCGTTGAAGCGCGAAGGAACAAGCACATGCACTGCAGAAAATAGTCTCTGACTTTGGTATCATGATTCAGGAGACCAGAATAAAAGATAAATCGAACATAAATTGTCCAGGATATGACTGTTACATTTATTTGCATGGAACACAAAACCAAGGTCTGCAATGTATATCAGGCTTGGAATTCAACACTGATGGCTAGATACAAATGTCTGTAATAGTGAAAGACTTGAGATTAAAGGATTAGTTGTCCGCACTGACCACAATGACTGGTACATCTTCAACGCATATGCGCATGTGGACCAACTATATAGTCCAACTACTGCTGAAATGAGACAAAGACCATTCTCAGATAGGTGGCAACATAATAATTACAGTTGGCTCAGTGATCATGAGGTGTGGGTTGGCATACACAGTGCAGCTGAATGGGAGAACAGTAAATGTTACAGAAAATTTGTTACGATACTGTGACCGAAAAAGATACAAATGCAATAAGATTCTAGAATGATATTAATTTGGAAAAGAAAAAAACTTGCTCTTAAACTGTATTACGTTTTGGAAGCTCACATTCTGTTCACTTAAAACTCACAGTAGGCTACAAATAGGGCTGGTTCATCTTAAGGGCTGGTTCATGTAAACAAGATTGGCACCAACTGACATAATGGTGAACACAAGACATTAAAGAAACACAGGGCATGAAATTCATGAAGCGGACTGAAGGCAGTGATGGGAGAAATGTTCTGCAAAGGACTTGCTATCTGATGTTTCATTCACTAATTTATCTGCTATTTAATTGTTTAGCTGACATTTTTAATACAAAATGTATGTCAACTTGAGGGAATCGACCTTCAAATTAAACATAATAAAGAAAAACCTTAAGGCTCTATATGCTTCTCTTTATTCATCATCATCCTGTTAGCTGTTTACATATCAAACAGGGGTCGCCGTCTGTTCTTCCATTCCACTCTATCCTGTGGAACCCTGTACAGAGCATCTGGCCTTTTTCTCATCAACATTTGTCTTAGGGTTCCTCTTAGATGTCCTCGTTTTCTCAGTCCATTTGTTTCTCACCTGAGTGCTTGTTTGGAAATTCTCTGTCCACTTGTCTTCAGGATGGGCCTGTTATATCATAATTGTCTTTGTCTCATAACTGTTAATACCACTTATTGTTCAGACGTTTCTCTCATTTCTTTCCCTTTCTTGAATTCATCCCTTTTAATTTAATTATTTACAATTAAATTAAATGCAGCTTGTTTTCAAACAAATATCAAGACTGGACTTACCTTCATCATGATGCTGTCTTGAGAAATCACTGCCTTTAGCTCCATGCCCAGAATGAGGTGCTGAATAGCCTCCCTCACGGCGATGATGAGAACCTTCAATGGTCTTGCTTCTTGTTCCCTGTTGAGCTGAATGGTATTTTATATAATTAAATAACAATTATCTAAATGTTTAGTAAAGACACAAGGATTCAAATTTGTTTAGGTTGTCGAAAATATTATGTTTCTGCTTTAATTGTGTCCATAGATCCTTCTTCTTCTTAGCGTTCACCAGCTGTAAACTCTGGCGGAAGGTTCTGGTTGCTCATCCACTACTGAACTGCAGTCCTGCTCCAGAACCTGAGTGTTGCGTCTGCATCAGTTTTACAGATCTCATTCTCTTGAATACAGACTGTTGGTTCCTTGCCTCTCTGGCAGATGCACTCCGACTTCAAAGGAAGCTCCCCAATTAGTCGACTCTTACGACATGCTTTTTGGGAGGCAGTGGGTCTATTCTTGTTTTCCCCACAATGGGGCCCCGGAACCCACACGGGGGAGTGTCCATAGATCCAATACTCTAAGATATGTTGTATTCCAGATTACTCCCAAGGTGCTAAGACTTTAATTATTTAAAATGAGCAGTCAGTTAGTGTTTAGTGTTTAGTTTTGTCATTTTCTGTTTGATGTTTTCTACTTTATCAAATGTGATTATAGTGTAGCTACATCATGCCTTTACTTTCAGCACTATGACTTTAAGTGTCCTAGTGACAACCTGAAGGTAAATAAAGGATATCAATTTTCCTATTGGATAAGGTTGTTCTTAAGGAGAACCCAAAAATCTGTTTATATGATATTGTGTAATGCTGATTTAAAAAAAAAAAATTAGTTTAAGGATGTACAGCAGACATTTTCCCTTGCTATCTGCCAGTTTATCCACAGTTTAACTTGGCCAGACATGTTAAAGTATGTGATAGAGGGGTCAGTGGAGTGGATGCATGCAGAGGTATTACAACATTACAGCTGGTGGGATAACATCAAGACATGAACTAAAGAAGCTTATCTGAATGTACAGCGAAAACACAGATCAATGAGTTTTGGAAACTCATTATAGCTGACATTCAATACAGAGCTGGAACACTTGATTGACTAATGTCTTAAGAGATCACCCTCACAAGACAGCACTAGGGAAGAGGTTACAGTGCATCTTGAAAATTGGTCATGTCTGTGACGACACGCTCGGTGACTTCAGAATGTGTCTTTCCGCAACCTACTTATATTTCTATGTATTTTAAAGTATACATAAATAATATGGTTTTGGATATATCCTAAATCTAAGTAAGGCGACCAGAACAAACCTATTTGATTCTCCTGGACTGCTGTTGATATCAAACACTGAGACTTTTTCCCAGATGTTAAGTGTTAAGGTACAAATAAGACTGCAGCAGGTAAATTTTAAATTTCATAGATTTAATTTTAACTCTTTATCCACTTCTTAGACTAAAATCATAACTACTAATTGGTAACTGGGAAGATTAAATTATAATAACTGTAAAAGTAGTTAATTGATGGTATCATATGAGTTAACTGTCTACCATTGATCATTTCATGAACATTGATCAGTGTTTAATCTTTAGTGCTTAGAGTTGATGAATTGATGATTTACTTGCTTGCATATTTTATTTGATATAGATTGTATAGCATTATATGTTGACATCTTATCAGTTTCTTATCAGTGCTTGATCATTGCTAGGAAGTAGCTATTATTGATTGATTGCATTATCTCAGTAACATTCTCTTTACTGCTGGGGTCCATTATCACGGTCACTCTTCCAGTTATCCTGTAACTCTAAACTTCACTCTGGGTAGTCCCGTATGTGATCATAGGTTCGCTTGCCTGGAAAATGAGCGATCTAGACAATACCAACCCTCGTTCCAACGTCTTAGAAAACTCCAGGATTGGTGGTGCACAAAGGGGCAGGATAGAAGCACAGTTAGAAACATGTGTTAAATACCATATAGATTATTGGGATTACATGGTTGCCCGTAATGCTACCGAGAAACAGTGCCAGCTGGAGAGAGAAGAAACTAATAGGCAGGAACAGCTTATGAGAGAAGAGTATGAGAGAGACATACAGCTTATAAGAGAAGAATGTAATAGAGAGATACAGCTTATTCATGAAGGAGCTGCTGAAAGGATGAGGCTTAGGGTAGAAGAAATTCATCGAAAACTGTTACTTGAGAAGGCAGAAAAAGAGAGCAGACAACAGCAAGCAGAAAACATTAGCGTTGAGGAAACTGTGAGTATATGTGAGGAAAAACCAATACCTCAGGCTAACACTCAAGCAGGTATGGTGGAGACTCACTCTCTAAATATTGAGATGTGCACTCCTTTGCCAACCTCTACAGCTAAGGAAGAGAACCTAAAAACCGAAGGACAGTATCTCACACCTCTTATTCCTATAGAGAAAAGAGGCAACAAGAAGAACTCTTTTTTAGGGATGACCAGATCTACATTGCTGGACCCCTTACCTTCCATTCGTAGGCCTCAAAGGAAAAGATGGGACAAGAAGCAGAAATCTTCTAAGGGGACCAGATCTACATTGTTGGAACCCCTAATTCCCATTATCTCAGACGAGATAAATAAGAGCACACCTGACAGTAGTCACAAGTGTGATAACTGTTGTAATCGTAGGCATAGCCATTCGACTGGCACACGTGCCATTAATGAGGACAAGGGCAAGGCCTTACCCAACTCCCATATTCCAGCTGGTCCCTTCAAGCAAGAAGAGGAATTAAAGCAGACTAATTTAGGGTATAACACTGAACCTGTTTCCCCTATTTCCCTTGATACGGCCACATACAAAATGGAAATAGTTAGTTCTGACTTTTCGCCCAAAGGAGTTGACGGCAATGGCTGCAACACATCCCCTGATTTGCTTCCACTGGACTTGGTATATGAAAACTAGACCAAGGTGGATATAACAGATGAGGAGGAGAGTTCTCTGGACGTCTTGACGATTTTAGAGACTCCACAAAAACAGGACAATTCTGCAAGTCCTGTGCACATTGATAATGGACAGACAGAAGTGTTTGCCATTAATGAAGAAGAAAATACTTCTTCTGAGCAGGAAGAAAACATATCTCTACCCTGTACAGCTGGGGCGACAGGTAAACTTCAGATGAAGAACCTGGAAGCCGAACAAGCCAAGAGTAAAAGGGAACCCCAACACTCTGGTCTTGGATTACTCTTCACTGTGGAGGATGTGACAGGAGTACTCAGCTGATGGTGGAAACTTCACTGCGAAGAAATCCCACCTTACTGTCTGCAGGAAACCCTGAGTTTCTTGAGGATTCGACTGAACCCACTGACTTGACTTCGTGCCCTGATTTTGGACTGATCTTTATTAAAGAGAATTCCACCCTGACAATTTGGGAAGGAAAAGACAGAATGCACCGAGAAGGAAAAAAGTGGACACTCTTCCAAGAAAGTCTTAGTGGTCAGTGGCACCCACTTCGTGGGATCATGATTAGTGAATATATCCCTCGTTTTAAGAGATTTGTGACAGATTTTTCCAGGATCTGTGGACGGAGGAAAAGAGGATCCAACCTGACTGCAACTAATCCTTTTAGGAGAACACTCCTGGCTCTCCCTATGCAGATAGGGTGCAGCGAAGTGAGGAAATGCACAGAGGTTGTCAGTCAATGGCGCAGAGGAGTCCAGTTGACAAAGCATGGATCTTTTATTATCCAGTGGAAGGAGGAACCTCCAGACAAATGGACATTACTGAGCGGCTGCTTGGAATACTCGCCCGATACCAGGATCAATGACAGTATAAAATTATCCTGGTTGAAAGGACATGGGATGTCTGCAGACGAGTGCAGGACTTCCTACTGACATAAAGAATACTGGAAACAGAAAACTTATGGGCAGTTATGCAAATGAGGACTCAAGGTTCTTGGAAGCCACAGAGCGTGCAGCTGTACGGTCAGGGTGACCGAAACTTTAGGGGAGGCTCTGTGGCGACATGCTCGGTGACTTCAGAATGTGTCTTTCCGCTACCTACTTATATTTCTATGTATTTTAAAGTATACAGAAAAATATGGTTTTGGATATATCCTAAATCTAAGTAAGGCGACCAGAACAAACCTATTTAATTCTCCTAGACTGTTGGTGATATCAAACACTGAGACTTTTTTCCAGATGTTAAGTGTTAAGGTACAGATAAGACTGTAGCAGGTAGATTAGGTGGCACCAGTAAAATTGAAAGCTCAGACTTAGTGGCTGGAGATGTTGCTTGTAGAACTGAGGTGTCAGATAATTATTTCCTAGCCAGACCTTTAGGAGCAGATAACCCAGGCTGATTGTGATTATCTTCCCCTGAGGTTACCCTGAGGTCAGATCACCAGTATTGACATGGTCGGCTGAAGGTGTTAGCAGACCGAACATGGCAGGGTGAAGAAGGGGAGGAAGGTGTGAGCTCTGGCCAGCTTGATGGACCAGGAGAATGTAACCGTGGGAATGCAAACACGTGTTGTACAGTCCTGACTGACAGTGAATAGACTTACCCACGGGGAGGGGCTGTGACATCTTTTATTGAGAGTGGTTTTATGAGTAATGTGGGAGGAGCTTAGAAGAAGTTATAAAAGGGTGAAGCTAAATCGGAAAGCAGTAAATGTTACAGAAAATTTGTTACAATACTGTCACTGAAGAAGATACAAATGCAATAAGATTCTAGAATGATATTGATTTTTTTTTTAACATGCTCTTAAACTGTATTACGCTTTGGAAGCTCACATTTTGTTCACTTAAAACTCACAGTAGGCTACAAACAGCAGCATCTTCAGGGCTGGTTCATGTAGACAAGGTTGGCGCCAACTGACATTATGGTGAACACAAGACATTAAAGACACACAAGGCATGAAATTCATGAAGCATGACAAGGAGTAAAGGCTATAATGGGAGAAATGTTCTGCAAAGGACTTGCTATCTGATGTTTCATTCACTAATTTATCTGCTATTTAATTGTTTAGCTGACATTTTTAATACAAAATGTATGTCAACTTGAGGGAATCGACCTTCAAATTAAACATAATAAAGAAAAACCTTAAGGCTCTATATGCTTCTCTTTATTCATCATCATCCTGTTAGCTGTTTACATATCAAACAGGGGTCGCCGTCTGTTCTTCCATTCCACTCTATCCTGTGGAACCCTGTACAGAGCATCTGGCCTTTTTCTCATCAACATTTGTCTTAGGGTTCCTCTTAGATGTCCTCGTTTTCTCAGTCCATTTGTTTCTCATCTGAGTGCTTGTTTGGAAATTCTCTGTCCACTTGTCTTCAGGATGGGCCTGTTATATTATAATTGTCTTTGTCTCATAACTGTTAATACCACTTATTGTTCAGACGTTTCTCTCATTTCTTTCCCTTTCTTGAATTCATCCCTTTTAATTTAATTATTTACAATTAAATTAAATGCAGCTTGTTTTCAAACAAATATCAAGACTGGACTTACCTTCATCATGATGCTGTCTTGAGAAATCACTGCCTTTAGCTCCATGCCCAGAATGAGGTGCTGAATAGACTCCCTCACGGCGATGATGAGAACCTTCAATGGTCTTGCTTCTTGTTCCCTGTTGAGCTGAATGGTATGTTATATAATTAAATAACAATTATCTAAATGTTTAGTAAAGACACAAGGATTCAAATTTGTTTAGGTTGTCTAAAATATTATGTTTCTGCTTTAATTGTGTCTATGGATATAATACTCAATGTTGTATTTAGGATTACACATTAATTATGTAAAATGAACAGTCAGTTAGTGTTGAGTTTTGTCATTTTCTGTTTGACATTGTAACGAAATGACCTCAGTGTTTTCAGAAGTTATTTGGTTTAATAATTTCTTCTGTTCAAAAGAGAGACAAAGAATTATATTTACTTTGCACTAAGGCCAAATATTACTTAAACCTTGTGGGATTTTAAATTGTTTCCAGAGGGAGAAATTAGTCCTGACCTAAGATTATTTAATATTAGCCAGTCAGTCTGCCAACAAGAAAGCCCAGCCATTGGGTCTTCACAGTTGGCTAGTTTTTCACACTTTTTCAGTGACTGAGTCCACTTAATAATGTTTGATCAGAGAGGGCTAGTCAGAATTGATTGACAGACAATGCAGGATAACTGTAGTTTGAGGGTACCTCAGGGGGTGGCTTAGACTCTCTCCTGTAGGATAATTTGATACAGATAAAGGGGAAGAGCGAATCTACAATTTGACATGAAGGTGAAATATTAACACAAATAGAAGTATGAATTTAATTCAGTTTGCAGACCAGCCTGCCACCAATGGACATCAACAGCAGAAAATAATTCTAGCTGTGTGAGTCTTGTGTTTGGCAAATTGCTGGAATTTTGTTGAAAAAGTTCTTTGTGAGTAGTCAGTTATCTCAGTTAGGGAGCTGGTTTTTTACTTCTAATCCTTGTATGTTTGTATCACATGTTTTTCAGTGTATATTTTCCTGTTTTATAAAATATATTTAAACAATGACATTTGCCATAATAAAATGTAATGAAATTATTATATTTCCACCATCAATCCAAAACGTGCCTGGGCGGTGGGGAAATGATGCCCACATATGCAGCCATGTGGTGAAAAATTGGATAGCCCACCATGTGCTCACAAAAATGCGTTTACCTACCCAGGGGATTGAGAACCCAGGTCAAAACCATGTGAGAGTGTATCATTAATTCTCACTGACAATATAATACCCAGGACAACAGACACATATACATTTTAAGGTTTTCAGCACACACCGTGCACCACATGTTCATGTCAAAGCAATGTCAGCGAATTGGGAAGTCTGAGTGAAGATAGACAACAGACTTAGGACTTCAACTATCATGACAGGACATGAGAGGGAAGGCAGGATTTGCAGGACATCAGTGTGAGACATAAGACCGATGTCAGCCCAAACATATACCTCATTGTTCTAGCAGAACTAGTCGGCATAATGAAGGCACTAGAGATGGTAATAAATAAACCTCTAATAAAATTTACCATACTTACAGATTCATTGTCCTCAGTGCAGACGTTAAGAACTCATAAAACTAGCAGTAGACCAGATATTAAAGAAACGATCTTAAACCTAACAACCCAACTCCATAATAAAGGATACCAAGTCACCATTGCATAGGTACCAGCACATAGAGGTGTAATAGGCAATGAAAAATCTGACCTAGTAGCTCCCCAAAAAAAGAGTTAAATGTGATGCATTAGTAGAAGTAGGACTCAGAAAAACTGAAAGGAATAGCATAATCAAAAGGCATATTAAAATGTAGAAACTCCAATGGCAGATGAGCATTAATGGCAGAGATGCATACAACAACCTTAAAGAACCCAGCCTAAACACACAAGTACGGGACAAACTGAAAATCCCAGCTAACAAACTGTTATGGAGAGCTAGGTTAGGGTGGCATCCAGAAAAATTTTGATCTCCCCTATGTCTGGACTGCTTTCAGGAAAATACAATAAAACATTATATGATAAACTGCACTAAATACAAATTGGAGAGGAAACCCATTGAGGAATATTTTCTAAAATGCAAACAACAAATTACTGCAAACATGTTTAAAGGTGGATAGCAATAAAGACATCCAAAAACTTGTTAAACAGTATCTAATCAAAACAAACCAAAACTAAAAAGACCAGGTTGAAGATCAGCTCAGGGCAGCAGAAGGAACAGGTCAGGTGGTGATTCCGGACACCCCAGCGTAAGGGAGGTAATGTAAGTATGATGGATGCATAGATGTGAGTTCATGCGGATACACAAGGAAGAGTTTGTGTAGTATGGGTGCATATGAAAAGATGTACGTATGCGAATGGTAAGGGGTCACATATGGACAGGAAAGTAGGAAGATAGATGTGCGAAAGGTACAGATGAATGATTACATGGAAATAGAAATGTAAATGTGTATGCATGAATATGTGTGTGTATATATAAGTGAGCGTGTATATTTATATATTTATGTGTGTGTGTAACTAACCATGCACTCCATGGTTATGTGGCTGCATGGGACTATACTGTGAATGAGTACATACATATGTATGAAAGCGCACGAACCTGTTAATGAGAATAAATGGGATGAAGTGTGTTCGCCAGCAAGAACTTTATCAACACACACCATCCACTAGAACATGATAAGAATGTAACGGACAGGTTACATACCAGGAACGGGACATAACTTAAAAAGTGACACGACCAGACGATATTATAAACATAGCGATACAAAAATAACATGCAAGACATGGAAGTGTGAGTGTCCTTACGTATGGATGTATATGTTTTTCACGAATGTAAGTGCATTTATGTAGGCATTGGTAGACACATATGAAAGAGTATGCATGTCAATTAGGTATGCATACGCGGATAAGTATGAAAGCAAGTGCAATCATATAGTGTTGTCTGTATATATATATTTCAGGGATTCATACTCAAAACCATCCCATTCCACATCATGCATAAAACATAAACATGACCGGTGGGATTCACAACAAGATATGACTGACAGCAAATAGGGAAAACAAGTGAATCAATACTGACAGGACTAGAACACTTAACAACCAATACCACCCCATCAGTGGGCCGATAGCAAAGGTCGGCGACATGATACGTATAATCCCAGCTAAAGGCCACGCTAGAATCCAGCAAGACGGCAACGGTAAGAAATGACTGAATGGCCTCCCGCCCTTTTCCCCTCACCCTTCTCTACCTCTTTCGGATGCACAATGAGTTCAATCCCCCACCCCATTCCCACAGAGAGCACTTGAGTTCGATACCCAACATGCCCCATGTCTGACTCGGAAGAAAGCACTAAACCCAGAGACAGCACAAATAACAGAAATTTAGTCACGTTAATGACGCGAATAACCCAGACCACAAATATAGGCGGAGACTGTTAGCAGCCTCGGCTAGCTAGCAGCAGTCTAAAAGTGGTGAACTTTTTAATTTGTTTCTCAAAAAGAATCAGAATCGAATCAGTGACAATGAGGGAAAAGCTGGAAAAGCTAGGAACGGCCACAACTCGAGGGCTCTCTGAGGTTTTATCTTGTATATTAACTAAGTTATGTGCATCATTTTTATTTATAAACTAATCATCATCATACGAACCATACGCTAATCTCTGGTGCTCAGTTTACTAGCTGAAACATCTCATTACCATCATAACATCAGCCAGTCAATGAGTGACTATATTACAATGATTAATGACATCTAAATGATTGATAGTGTAATAAATCACAATATAACGCTTTAACTACATCATTTGTCCAAGTGTATTTGTTCTTACATGTTTAACTCAACAGTTAGACAGAATTTAATTTGGTGGGGGCTCTTTACCAGGAGGAGGTTGTCGGGAGGGGTGACCTGCCCAGTCTAACAATTAATTATTTAAAGTAATCTAGACATCTAAAACCCCTTCACTTCTCCTGTGGGTACCAAGTGCAGCTGCTGTGAATATGCAGGATGAGCCAAAAATGGCTGTTTTTGTGTGGATATCTAGGACTATATCTGAGATCCACATAGCTCTGGACTACTAGTCCAGTTTCTCTGGTGGAGGTGAAGTGTTGAGAGTAAAATTCCTACTCATCACAAAATCATCTATACACTTGGAGACTCATGACAGACGTTCTCTATTTTACCAAATGTGATTATAGTGTAGCCACATCATGCCTTTACTTTCTGCATTGTGATTTAAAGTGTTCTAGTGACAACCTGAAGGTAAATAAAGGATATCACTTTTCCAAAGATTCTTTCGATAGCATCCTTCACTGTGGGGTGAATTTTCCTCTGCGTATCCTGAGAACAAAATAGTTTCCCCTGAAATAAGAATACTTTTCCCCACCCCAGTCCATCTAGTTTCACAAACCCTAAAATACTAATTCTATAATGATTATTTTCCTTCACTACTTCCATTGTTCTTCCTATATCATAGAGAGTTCACATTATCTGAGGATAACTGTTTTATTCTCTTGAAAAAGAATATTGTTTTTAAAGCACCTTTAAGTCGGTCAGTTGTGAGGATTCGTGAGACAATAGTTCAGTTGAATTCAGGATGCAGCAGTCATCAGAGAGAAAATTTAATTGAATTCAGTGGACTTCATGGGTTCATAAGCCTCTTAGTAAAATCTGATGCATTGTGAAGCGCAGTCCCAAAGCTAATGTAGTGAGGCTGGTTACTAAAGCAGAAGTGGCAAGGCCATGTACTGTTTGCAGCCTTTTGGACCATGTTTCAGAGATGAGATTACTGAGATTTTATCCTTGATTTCTGTAGAATGCAGCGTGGCTTGGGCTATAAGTGGCACCCGCAAAACACATAGTAACATGTGTGTAAGGGCACACTGCTATTTGTTCGGTGTATCCAGATATGAGTCTTTCTTCATAGTATTTATCTTTTTTCATGCCTGAGTTTGGATGGTATCTTCAAGACTATCTTTGTTGTGTGGTGATCGTGTTAGGGAGTAATCTTAGTAGACTAACCTACATTCACAGTAAAAGTAAAAAAAAGTAAAGGACCCTTTTCCATGCCATTCAGGCGTATTGGGTATTCAGGGCTAGACCTATATTTTATAGACCAAACAGAACTTGATGG